AGAGGCCAGCATGCAGAGGGCCAAAAAGAAAAAGTAACGTGGACGACACTCGGAGGACACTAAGGAGAAGACTGACGTCGATAAAACCTATAACGTGGGAGCATTCTGCCAGAAAAGGATTGTCGGAGTTCCAATCATCGAAAACTCAAAGATAAGTTAAAATCTTCTATATTTTTTTTTCTTTTGTTCCGAAATGTTATGCGTAAATACGAAGTTCTATGTTTTGACGGAAGTCAATGTGTCTCGGTTGAGACTTAGTTTTGTTTTACTTTATTTAGCTAAGGCAAAAGTATTATTTTCTTTAAATATAAAATCTAAGAACAAGCAGTTTCTGTTGGTCGAAAGACTAATTCTGTTATGTTAAAGCCAAAATTTGGCCGAAGATAAAAATAACTTCGTATTCCTGTATTAATAAGAACTTTAGTTTCAGTGCCGCCAGCTTGGCGAAGAATGAGTAAAGTAAAAATTTTATTTTCTCTTATTCATTTTATGGTAAATTGTAAAAATCATATGTATTAAGAATTTTGTAAATATACGTAAATACTTGAAAGTTATGTAAAAGTAGAATTTAGTCTAGAAGCATAAAATTTAGATGCTAAAAGTAAATGCTCAAAAGCAATGAATTCAAATTTAAGTATTAAACTGTAGATAAAATCATGCTTTAGAGCGAAAGCCTACATGTCTAAAGATGAATGAGGGGGAAGTTAGAATGAATGTGTTTTGTAGGGTTCTCCACCTACACTTTAATTTTAAGAATGTTAAAGTAGCTCATCGAGTTGTAGAATGTCGAGTAAGGTTGTCTATTTGGTCGTTGAATTCTAACAAATCATTGTGGTTAGGGAAGTGTTTGCAATACTACTAAACACGAATATTCCCGTTTGACACCACACATGGTGGAGAGCCAGGGTAAAGTTAAATTCATGTTTGAATACTTGAATGAATGTGAATTAAGCAGTAACTAAGGAAAATAAATCGTTCAAAAACAAAAACTTATTCAGTGTCAAGAAAGTGTAAATTATAATGTATTTAGAAAGATACTGATACTTATACATTCCAGATGGCTGGAAAGAGAACAGATTGATGCTGAAGTCCAGGAAAGGTTGCTGTAAGAAGAGAGAATTAAAATAAGTATCTACAGAAATTTATTCTACCTTCTGTGAGATAAGATTTTTTTTGTGTAAACGAGGCTCTTAAAATTTAGTTCAGAATTGTGGAAACTTTTCAACAGGTCGTTTCTAGGACCTGCTTCCAAGTTTACCAAATTCTGGCAGCGGCAAATGTAGGATTTATATTTATTTTAACTAACATTTATTTTAAGTTTAAACTATCTTTCCTGTCAAGCCTTATTTTCCCCTAGAATTGCCAATGCCAGAGTATGTAAATTTTAGTAGAACGCGCAAGGATTCAAATTGTCAGCGGAAGTATCTGAGTTAAATAGAAAGGAAACGAGTTCGAAGGTGTGCTTTCTTACTTCACGAGCGTGGAGGTGGCTAGTTAGAAATTGAAGAACCACGCGTTTCGGCCTGTGTGCTTGCCTCGGCAGTTTGTTAATCTTTCAACGTAATATTCAGAAGTTTTGCTGAATTATCAGCGGTATTTTAGAACGCGGTGAGGTTAGTTACGCTTAGAGAGCCTCGTAGTTAGTCACTTGTTACTATTCTTTTCTTAGTTTGTTATTTTTATTTTACCGCCAGGTCGGCGTAGTTTGTGAGCGTCAAGAGCACGCATTTGTAATTTCTAAAGTTGAATAAAAAGGGATTTAAACCCTTCTCAAGACTTTGGTCTCCTTTCCAGTTCTCAGCAGTCACCACTATTGTTGCGTGCAGGTTGGAAGCGCGCAACTTTACAATCTGAAATTTTCTTATCCTAATTTAATACGTCTTAAGAGTAAAGCTCAAAACTTTTAGAAGATTTCTTTTATTTATCGGTAGAGAGGGCAACAAGTATGACCTCTCGACCGATATACATAATATGATATCGTACATATCATACTACATACATAATAAATTCATACATACTTAACTACCGATAACAAGTATAACATGAGTATTGACCGGTATGTATATTTAATTATAACCGGGTAAAAATTATATTTTGTTATTTTTCGAAAATTAATAACTTTACATTGTCAAAACATGAATATTCTCATGTTTTAAAAAAGGCCGAGAAAGACTGTTAAGTCGGGTAAGCTGTGAGTGTGTAAATATATATACATATATATACGTTATAATATATATATATATATATATACGTTTGGTACTCTCGATAAAAAAGTGAGGTGCACAGCTAGATGCTATAGCAGTCCCATATACGAAATTTCATAAGTTACATAGAATTGCACGTACCGTATTTTTCGCCGTATAAGACGCACCGGCATATAAGACGCACCCAATTTTAAAGGAGGCAAATCTAGAAAAAAAAGATTATGAACCAAATTCTGTAGTAAAATATTTTATATCAACTGTATAAAGTTAACAGCAGTTTAAGAAAAATTTTATGTCAACCATGTAACATACTAAGAGCTATCTTTACTCTCATAAACAGTCAGCAAACAGTGAAAGTAACAAAAATAAGACTGTCATGTTTTTATTCTAACCCCAAGAATTCATCTTCTTCGCTGCTATCAGAAATGAGGAAGGACAGATCCACGCAGTCATTGTCATCACTTTCTGTCAAATAAGACGTCGTCTTCTGTTCCATCCAAGGCATTACTAATGCCACACTTCTTGAATGATTTTACAACAATGTCTTTCTTTACGGAGTCCCATGACCTTTTAACCCATTCACACACTTATGTGATAGTATTCCTTTGGCATTTTTTGTGCAATTCTGGTTTTGGTGCGCATAGAAAGGCCAGATCTCTTCATAAATCTATAGCACCACGATGGTGATCCGGTGAAATCCTGAATGCCTTTCTCCACAGCAATGCGTTTGGCCTCATAGATTATCATTTTTGTTGGGACAGAAAGTTCATTTTGCCGGTGACGTGTGATCCACTCCTTTACTTCTACCTCTAACTCTGGCCACTTTGCAGCTGGTTCACGCAAGGTGTGCTTGCTTTTATCCAACTTTTGGAGCTGATCCTCCTGTTTCCTCCACTCTCTTATCATTTTCTCAGTTGGAGGTGGCCCAAAGTGTCTCTCCGCTGCTCTGTTTCCATGCTCCTTAGCAAATTTTTTTACTTCCAGCTTGAAAGCAACTTTATATGCCAGTCTCTTCTACTTCGACATCTTGATGGGGTGGTATGAAATATGATATATTTCATTCAGATATACCATACTACATATATCACAGCTCACAGCTATCCGCGCCTCCGCTTGCTCCCGATTGCTCCCGCACTGCGATTGGCTGAGCGAAGAGACGCTTGCCTTCACCCGCTCCGGCTTACGAGACTCTAAAATGTGCACAAACGCCACCATCGAGATAGATAAGGCCTGCGCGCTGAGTTACTACGTCATTGCTAGGGGACCGGTCTTCGTGCAGTTTACCTTCCTTGCTAAACACCAGTTTTTCTAAAGCTATTCTATGAAATTGGTATCTCATACTATAAAAGCAGTCTAAAACAAAATTACAAGCGGCAATATAATGTTTTACAAAGCTTATACGAATATGAAATATTTTCATTTTCTTTTGTTGGTATTTATTTTCAAAACAAAATTATTTGAGAACAGTGTGGTGCTTTTAAAAGCAAATAATTTCTTTGAAGGAAAAATTAGTTTTAAAATTCAAGTAGCAAAAATTTTTATTTTGATTTTTCTGTACTGTCTTTGTGCCTCTCGTTGATTCTCACCACTGCATCAAATTTTTTGTTTCACCCATTACTTTAACAAAATGTTTGCCAGTGGGAACACATATTATCTCTCAATCTATAATTATTGCATATTTTTATTTATATCTATAATATTAATGTAGCAGGATTATAAAATATCAAACGAATGCAAGAGACTACTTAATATTTAGACTAACATTTAAATGCTTTATATCAGTCAGAAAAATTTTCTGAATGTAATAAATTACTAAATAGTCTACCTTTAAAATTATTTCTTACTTACATATTGTATGTTAATCTGTATTACAGTTAATGTTTTCCTCTTAATGCTACATAATTATTCGACAGAATCTGTAGTTTAATTGAGATAATGTTTATTACATAGCTCTGAAGACTATCAATATTAAATTCCAAATAAGACAGGAAAAAAGTTTTTTGCGTTACCTCTGTTCTGAAAATATCTTTTCTATTAATATCCACATGAAAAGAAAATATAAATCCTAACATCATGTTCAAAACTTTTTTTTTATAATGTATGCAATTTTTTTTAACTTACCTTACATATCTTTTTGGTGGTGCCATGTACTCAAAGATTGTAATTCAAAAGATAATTAAAAAAATTGTTTTTAAAATTGCATTGAATTGAAATACAATGAAAACAAGTATGTCTACATATGAATTCAATTACTACTGCTTCTTCAATAACTGTACATTTTTAAAATTTCAGTTTGCAGTTTCGCAATTTAATTACCTTAATATGAGTCTTACATACATTATTTTAGAAATTTTTCTATCATTCTCAGAAAGATTTATATTGCATAACAAATTTTAAACAAACTGATTGCATGATAATAACATATATAAAAGTGAACAGAAGCTATATTAGCTAAACATATGCATTTAAGTTTCATCATGATAAAATGATATTTAATGATTTGCAAAAAGCATTGATATTTAAATTTAAGAACACAGTACTATGTCATGAATCAAATTTACTCAGCATTTGATATTCTACATGTTATGTAATGAAATAAGTGTTATGCTTTTAACCCCTTAGGACAGTTATTTCATATAAAATTAGTTTCCAATTAAAATAAATAATCATAAATTTTGCTGACAATTTTTATATTACTAGTCTTAGTAATTATTACAAGGGATGATGCTTCAGATGTCAAAAGTAAACATAAATTCATCCCTTAAATCATAATGAATAAAAAATTACAACTTATAAAAGCCAACAAAAAGTTTACAAATAAATATGCAATAAAATAACTGATATTTTTTAAATGCAATGGAATGTTTTCTAAAATATAAATACCTTATTTTAGATATTTGCTTTCTGTAGTGTTTGTAGTTTTCTTTTTAAACAGGGTTTTCTATAGTTATCATTTTTTTTACAACAGTAATTCTTAAGTAAAATGTTTATGCACACCCACAAAATTTGTTTCACACAATACTCAGCAGTATGACCTAACTCACATATATCAATTGAATTAAATAATTCTAGCCTATTTATAATAGAAAATGCAAGAGTCAATGCAAAATTTCGTTGATTTTGAACTTTTAAAAATTCATTTTCGTATTTCTCAGAAAGAAGTTTTTGAACTACTATATAGCAATGCACAATAATATTCACAATGTCTGGGTGAGGATACTTTAAACATCCTCTATCCATACTTGAAATTAAGCGATATGAATCTTCGCATATCAGTTCTTTATCAATTGAAAACTGTGACAGACATGATGAACACTTCTGTTTTTTGCATATGGCATAAACACAATATCCTGCAAGGTATGTCAAAACTGGTATTACACTTTCGATGCCTAAAATATCTTCATTAGTTACATCAATATTCAAGTAATTAATTACTTCATCTTCCTTTTCATATGAAGACACAGCATTAAATTCATCAATAGTAATTTGACCAAAAGTTGCAGATCTCAATGAAAAAGTGTTTTGTAATCTGAGTTTGGACTCACATTCAAATATTTGCCTCACTGAGACATGATATTGCGATCCGGCTAAAAATCTATACTTTCCGAATCTCTCTTCTAAAGAATCAGTTTGTATTTTTCCACAGAGAAAATATTTCATTTTCAGCTCTTCGATACAATACTCCTTCATTTCCAACAAAGCATGAGTTGTGTGAGTAAGAGCATGATGAGTTTCTTTCGTAAAATTCCCTGTAGTGCATCCCATGCTTTTCCAAACATCCAGCCAATTCAAAAATTTACTTAAGAACTTCACGTTTTCATCGTCAGGCAAATTAGTTAATGGATTCATATTTTCATTTCTTAGTCGTATTCCTTTATGGGGACTTTTTACATTTATAATGCACCACCAAACATGAATTATTTTAATAAAATTTCCGGTTTCTTTGGCAAATTGCAGATTATTTTTTTCTTCTAGTTCTACTAGAGCATTCACTACATGTTCATTAAAAACTTGCAGTGCCAGTTTGACATTCTGCCTCTCTAAATTCGATGGGTTAAGAGATTTAAAAGTCAAAGAGCGATTAAATGTAACTAAATTATTCTTTTCAGCTTCATATAGTTTTTTGAGAGTATAAAAAAGATGCAGTTTTCATAATAACATTATTTTCAAATGTCTCAAAATCTGGGTATTGAAAACACTGATTTAAGTTTTTCTGATTCAACCAGTTATTTCGTATACATTTTAATATATGTACTGCATCAATTACATAAAATAAGGGTCTGTCTGTTTTTACTGGATGAGGATAAACGATACTCAGTTTTGGTGGATTTGAGAAATAACACATAGATTTACGATTGAGTGAATTATTGTCACTTACTACACAAACCACGAAAAACCCTATATTCTCTAATCCTGTTACAATCTTTTTAAGTATAAAGTGCAATATATCCGCTGTTATGGTTTTCACAGGTAAAATATGCACAACATCTTTATACTGGGAGAGTAAGCTCTGGATCATAAAAACATAAGCACTTGTTGCTGCATCCTTAGTGTTAAAAGAAGAGCCAACAATATTACCTCCTCTGAAATCTAAATATGGTTTAATATGAATTTCATCCATCATTACAGAAACAATTCTTTCATGAGGTTGAAGTTCCACAAATTTCTCTCTCGCATAATGAAGGAAGTTTACTTCAAATTGCTCTTTAAAGGGACTTGCATTAAATTCAGTACAAATTTTTCTAACTGTTGCTGGATGGGGAAGAATTATATTTCCCGAATGTCGTAAAAACTTATACGCGTGTGGAGATATGGAATGCAATAAAGTTGAAAATATTAGCATTTCTGGTGAGTATCTCCGTTTAACTTTATTGACCGAGAAAAGTGAAACTTGTTCGGCCAAAAAATTAATAACAGTTTCTTCGACTTCATCATTCAGTTTAAGAAGGCCCAATAATTCCAAAATTGTATCCAAAATTGATTGAATTTCATTTTGAGCTACAGGTATTAACAGAGACTGTACACCATCTAGTATTTCTTGGAGATTTCTGATATCTCCAACTTTCACAGGAAAGTTACGTTCTTTGCATGATTTTATTGCAGCATTACCAATAAATGCTGAGACACTTAAATCATATTTAAGAACAACAGAGGCTTCAATAACTGGTGCTGCTTGAGTATTGATGTGAATAAATAATGTCTCATCTTCCTTTCTGATTATAGACCAAAATAACGGGATTTGCTGAGTCTCTAAGCACTTTAAAAAGTTTGCATATGTTGAAAACATGTATTTTTTGCTTCTTCTTCTGATTTCGTTTTCATGCTTTCCTGTAGAGCCAAATGCAGTTGCTGATTTTGTAATCGTATTTTCTTATCATACGGAGATTCTCGATTCTGTTTCTGATAGGATAAATATTCAGGGCAACCCGGAAATAAAGATGGTATTGCTTCTTTCGTTAATCGAGAACGTGAAAGAGGTGCACTTATTTTTTTTCCAGAGGATGGATCATATGCACTTGTCTCCATCTCAATATCTTCATCTTTGAAATGAAGTTCGCAAACTTTTGAAGCTTTCGTTAATTTAAAATTACTCCGAGGTATAGCTTTAAGCCATTTCTTTTTTAAAATTTCATTAGATGGAAAACTGTAGACTCTCACACGAGGACCATTATCATAATTTCCTTTGCATCCAGGAACAATACAACGGGAAGGCATAATGCTGATAACACAATTTCGCACGAAAATATGCAGAAACAAAAATGTATCACTAAGCAATCAACTTGAAAAAGCAATGAATAATGCACAAATGTTAATAAAACTAACGAAATCTAAGCATCTAACAAGAGCGTGTGAGGTATGTCTAACAGTAATACGGTGACAAAGAATACGGAGAAAATTTCGGGGAGTGTCATTGTGTGAGTTATTGCTGAGGGTCCCTTAACCGTGACGTCACAAGCCAGTTTCGATTCAGAACGCAGGCCTTATCTATCTCGACGGTGGCGGCACAAAGCCAGCGCGGGAGCGAGCGAAGGCATGCGCCTCTTCGCTCAGCCAATCGCAGCGCGAGGCAGAGACCGTCCAAATACAGTGCGAGGCAGAGCGGGGCTTCCTGGTCTCAGACGGCGCCAAGAGGTGGAAGTGAACGGAGTGGCCGAGTATTCCTGCGGTAAGGTATGTATGCAGAGGTGGAGGGGCAGTGGAGGGCCATGGTGGGCTTTTGTATTTGCCGTATAAGACGCAGGCACTTTTTCCCCCGATTTTGGGGAGAAAAAGTGCGTCTTATACGGCGAAAAATACGGTATTTACCGACATCACGAAAAATTCTTTTTGAATCAACGTGAAACCGATTTTATAATGTGTTTTGGAAAAAAGATTCCTTTATTTTGTACGTACAGACGTGACTCAAAATATTGTCCAGAAATAATATTTCTATTTCATATTGTCGAAATATGACACCCGAAAATTTTCCCGATTTCATTACTTTCTTTACTTCCTATAAAACAGTAAAAACTTACCAAAATAACTTTTCTTCGTTTTAATAATTGATAAAAGGCATTTCTTGTTTTATTTTGATCTCAAGCGAAAACTGTAAGTAGATACCTAGAAATAAGGAACTGCCTCTCATTTTTTGCGAGTACAGCGAAATTTCTTCCTAGTGGGTTCAAGTTTTACGAATCTTCAATTGACAAAATTGATTCTTTGATTGAAATTAAAATGACAAGAGTATTAATAATTAGTATAAAATCCGTATAACCCATAATATAAAATATATAATGTTAACTTCTGCATCAATTCGCTCCGATTAAAATTATTCTCTCTTATTATACTAACTCAAAGTCTCCACTTATTTTCCCCGTTTCTCGCCGAACGTGCAAAATTAAATAAAGAATTTTTCTTCATCGCAATAATAGAATGAAATAAAATTCGGACGAAAGACGGTAATATTTCGTTTTTGAATGATAAAATTTTCTTCATTTTCCGTTGTAGGATTACAGGCTCACTGCAGTCGAAATTCGAAATATAATTTTTTATGAGCAAGGGAGGTTAAACATTATTCCCCCTCCTCAAAAATTATTGGGTTAATAGTCGTCCTGCAGGTATAAAGATTTCGCCAAAAACATCGCAGAAAAAAACAGCGCAATAGAAAACGTCGTCGTGCAAAGCATCATCGGAGAAGATAAAGCAAAGAGAAAATATTGGAGTTCTAAAAATATCGTAGTACAAAATATCGTGGTAAAAAACAAAGCTGTACAAAGGTCCGCAGTTTTAAAACATCGTCAAAAAATCGTGGTAAGAAATCAGGGCCGGATTAAAACTTATAGAGGCCATAAGCATTTTAAAAGATTTTGGTGGTCCCTCCTTATGTTTACGCCAGATTTTTATTCATTTCTTCTCTCTCTCGTTTTTGGTTTAACTGCACCTTGCGTTCCAGGGTAAAACGAACGATTGCAAATTTTATGATGCCCCCTTCAATAAATACCTTTTTGTGGTGCCCCCTCTCCTTTATGTCCCAAGCACATATTTATATTGCTTTATGGTTAATACAGCCCTGTAAGAAATAAAACACCTATAAATCATAGCATGATGATGACATCGCAGACATGAGTTTCGTGAGTACAAAAGTTTTAAGAGAATTTTCGCGTAGAGATTTGTGAGTGCAAGAATAAATAAGTAAAATTTTTATCTACTTATTTCCTAATTTAGAATAAACTACTCTTTTTACAAAAAAAAAAAAAAAAAAAAAAGGCAGTTAACAGGATTTTAAAATTTATTTGCTAAATATTTAAAGTCATAATTAACCTCTCTTGTAAAGACGCATTAGAAGACATTCATGAGAAAATATAATATAAAAAAAGATTAGAAAAAAGAAGATGCATAAGTTTAAAGTTTATCAACTGGTTATCCCTAGCGTTAATTTTTACTTATTGCCAGGTTTTGAATGCTTAAGTTCTCTTCGTGTTTTTTGAATAAAAATTCATCAATTAATATAAAAATATGAAATATAGAGGTTAAAAATATGACTTGTTTCTTCTTTTGTTCACATATCATTATGCGAAAATGCACTTAACACTTTTATAGCCAAAAAGGGTATTTTATTATTATTATTATGCGGTGATTTGTAATTTCTTTATTTTTACCCCAATATTTTGAAGATATTTTAAAATTAAAAGATTCTGCAAGCTTTATTTTCTGCTAATGTTTTATACAACGATGCTTTAGAACTACGATGTTTTCTCTTTGTCTACTTTTTTTCTCTCACGATGTTTTGTACGACGAGATTTTCCTCTGTGTTGTTTTCTCTGCAATGTTTTTACCTGTTACTGAATTCGTACTCCCAGTTTGATTATTTCACTTTTTCGGATGCGTTTTTTCTATAAGTTGAATGAGAAAGTGAAAAACATCTCTAAAGCAGAAAAAAAAAAAAATTTAAAAAACTTAATGATTAATGTAGTAAAAAAGTTGATTCAGTATATAGACAAAATAAAATTATTAATTTGCAGTCTGATGTGTATAGTCTGAAATTAATTTATAATCTGATCCTTTAGATTAGATTGCACCTGATGTTTTAGATTAGATCGCAAATTTGAAAAGTATTATCAGATTTCAGCTTAAAGTTTGAAATATATCATAGTATGCTTACAGTACAAAAATCCTGTAAATCCACTAAAAAATTGATATAATTTAAAAAATAATAATCCGATTTTTAAAAGGAAATATTTACAAATGCATATGATTAAATATGCAAAATGAATATTGTATTGTGAGAAATCTGGATTTCATGAGTATGTATGATGTAAGTGTTCATTTACATATCGCACGCATGCAATGAAGCTATTTACATGAAATTTAAAAAATTCTCAAAAAGAATCTTTAATTGGCACTAAATAAAGAGAAAAAAGGGGGAAAATGAGAAAAGAAAAAAAAATAATTACCTTTGGTATTAAGTAAATCTCTAATATTGAAATAAAATTTTAAAAGAAAGACCCTCTTAAACGACTTACAAAACAAGTCATTTGTCTATCTCATTTGATGCGAGTTTAGTCAGAACGAGTTCAAATCTTCAACTAAGATCTGTTTTTGAACCAGAATTAACGTATCCCAGTGTTATGTGTACAGTTCTTTTACGTTCTGATTCCATTAGATTGTTTGTAAAGTTATTATTTAAAACTAATCAGTTATTATGATTTCGATCTTTATTACAGTTTCTCCTTTCCGTATTCCTCACCAGAATGCAAGTGAATAGCCCAGTATTTAAATTAAGGTGTTTTGGATTTTAAGAGAGAGCGTGTTTCTGGCTCAGCGGGCACGCTACGTGTTAGTTTCCTGCTAGCTCTGATAGTTGTAATTATTCTGCTTTGCATTCTATCTGTGTTGACACTTTCATTTTTACGCTCTGAGAGATTAGTGAGTCAGCTTTGAGTCATATTTAATTGTGCAGTCCTAGACTACTATTCAACGTTTGCTTTAAATTTGACTGTTCTATTTAGTTGTAGCTTTTATTGTAAAATAAAAGAGTTTTTTTGTATTCTACATTCTTTTTAAGTAAAATGTTATTTTAGCCTTTTCACGACTTTACCATTGTGAATTACCAGATCAAGTGAAATCCTACATATTGAATTAGAAAAAGGGCACGAAGCCAATCTCCTTATCTTAACCTTATCCTAATCTTAACCTTCGTCGCTTGTGATAGAAATCAAGACATCCCTCCACCGGGTCGTATTCTAAAGTCTCATACGCCTCTTCTCGTACCATTAGTGTCTCTGCACGTGATTTTGCACAAAGAGATTTAAAGTATCCTAATTTTACAAAGACATTATAGTCACATATATTTGCACCTTCTCTGGATTCGAACTCTGGCCCAGCGGCTTATTGAAGTAATTTCCACCAACCGCAATACCTTCTGGAGTGAGTTTATATCTTGGATGGCATTCAAAACAGGATTTTTCAGAATACACTTCATCTCTACCAGAAGAGAATCACTAATTGGCAAATTTTAGGACCTTTGAATCATGAAAGCAATGCTTTGTCAACGTAAAGATATGTAAACGCACGAAAGTTTTACGTTTTGTGTTGCCATCATATATATGTAAGATATAACAAAATATGATAGCTGTTTTAAAAAAAGAATTGGCGACATCAGAATTAACATTCTAAATTTGGTGATCTGCCCCTAAATTCATCTCTTTTCCCAGATTCTAGATTTTTCTATGTTGCGTAACGTTTTGATGCAAAAGTTTCAAGATGAGATTTAAAATGCCTCTTAAATGCTCATTTTTAATTTGGGTACTTTTTCTCTAGTAATAACTTTTTCTAAACTGCGTCATATCTAAAACCGCATTCCGCATTTTGTCATGTTGAAACTTCTGCATTGCCTATAAGTTTTAGCCAATCAGATTAACGAAACATTTTACTATAAATATCGTTGCGATCCTACTACCCTCCCTCTTTCTCTTTCCGATTTTGAACTTACAGATACTCGATGATTCTCAAAGCACTTTGAAGATGCCTTTAAATCACACACCGGAAACGAATTTGATGATTCACTGGAAGTTTGAAGCAGCAGAGTTCGAAGGCCATTGGGGAAACTTTCATCAGATTTATCCTGTCTACTCTTTGTCATCATGCTTTTCCACTAAGCCACCTTCAAGCCACTACGGTCTTCTCAGCGGTCTACGCAGTATCGTTAGCAGTTAAAGTTTCAGCGTCTTCATCTACACATTTAAAATTATTACATATATACATACAAAACCTTGCTAAACGTTCTGTTTCCATTTGAGAATGAATTGTAACAAAATAACAGTTTTCCTAGTATTTCCTAGTATTCCTGCAGAAAAAATTATCATCAAAGACGTAAGGTAAGAAATTTAGAACTAATATTTCACAAAGACCAAAAATTGAAATTCATAATTAATAAATTTCAAATAAATGCAACAAAGAATTTTAAAATGTTAAAACCAAAACACTTTAAACAAGCAAAACCCCATTTCAAAAGTTAATGAAATTTAAAGAAAATAAACAAAAAATGAACAAAAACGGAAGAGGAATTCAATCAACTTCAATGCTACTTCATCAGGTGGAGAAACACTGAAATCAATTGAATTCTCTCTTTTAAAAAATTCCCTGCTTTTCTGTATCCAGAATCAGCCAATGAACCATTTCAATGTATTTTA